CTAGTAGCACTCATCGTGTGACCGCGGGTTTAAAAAAAAATTATAACTTAAAAAGTATTATTTATCTATCAATCTATTTCTAAGCTGAACTCGCTGGGGGTGCAGTTGCATACCCTGCACCCCCTGTGTGCACGCCTATGCTACAAGTATACTACAAATAGATATTTTTAATAGAAAAATTCATAAATCATAATAATATATAATGTGAYAAAAACAATATTTTTGACACTATTAGGGCCAGTTGTACCGTCTCTGATTCAAGTTAACCGGAGTTTAATCGGCCGAATTTGCACGGTTAAATATCTGTTATCAGCTGATTAAGCGTAATCGAAGTTTAACCGTAGACGGTACAACTGGCCCTTAGTGTGTAGCCAGTGGTGTRGTGAACATAAACAAACCATGATGTGTAGCATAATATATTATATTTCAGTACTTGCCTAATCCTAATCCCCCTTTAATATAATGTATAAATGTATAATAGATAAATAAGCGACTTTAAATATAATGTTTGTTTCATGTAATTGCTTAAGAGGACGCTACGCCTGCATGCATTGTCTCAGTCTTACAAACTTAAAACATAGCAAAAACTGTACTTGCACGGGGCAGCTGTTCTTCATCAGTATTTATACAGTATTATCAGAAACCTAAAACTTAACCTCAATGCATTTTATTTTTTCATTTAATTATTAAAACTTRAAATTATTGGTTTGTGCCATCAAAAAAATAACGATGCTATGACACAGAAAAAGTTCTTGCCTATGCATTATGCAATTTTGATAATTCTACTATAAATACTAAGAGTGAGAGACATGAGAGAGAACAGTTGTCCAGCACAAGTACAGTTATTGTTATGTTCTACTTTGTAAGACGAACACAACACATGCGGGTGTGGCATCCTCTTAACATGATGTATCCAATTACTTAGTACTTACCATCTACACAAAAAATGCCCACCATAACGCCTAACCACCTTTACCACATCACTGATAAAAGTCCTTAAAATCACCAATACCCATAAAAAAATTTGCTTTCAGATTTTTAATTTGACTTTATACTCAAAGAGATTAATCAAATAATAACTGTAATAATTATCACAGAAATGAAAATTTGGTTTAACAGATAAGGTCCATAAAATAAAAAAATTGGAATCCTAAAAAAAATTGCTGAAATAAGCTCATTCTTTTCTATACACAATTTAAAAAGTAACACATTCAATGAAAAGAAATATAATATACTACTATAGCATTAGGTAGGTATATCATTATAAATACAATTTACAAATTAAAAAACTAATTACTTACAGACAGTAATAAATAATCAATATCCAATGTTAGTTGGGAACGAATTTTATCATCATCAGAATTTACTTTATAGTTTGGATCTCTAATCTTTTTAAGTTTTCTTAAGCTTTCTTCTGTTTTTTTTATTGCTTTCATTACATCATCGACGTAAGCTACATATCTAAAATAAAATGTTGTAGTATAAACAAATGTATTTAAATTTCACTATATTTTGATCTTTTTGGTTTACTAACTGTGTAACTATATGATCTAGCACTTGATTTTTACAATTTTTATTCTGTAATGTTTGTAATGTAGTAACAATTGATTTCATATAAGCACATGGTTCAGTGGGATAATCTCGATTTGTGTGTCTGAACAACCTTGGTACATCAGTTACTCTTATGACATGAGACATTGCTTCATCAGTCACAGATTGCACTTTACATTTACTCAAATTATTAATTAAGGTATTTAAATTGTCATTTACAATACTACCTGTAAAAATATGGGAGCACATCATGAAAATACAACTCACGTTTTAAATGTTAAGTACACTTACTTTTTTGTGATTCTAAAATATCAGCAGATACCTTTGTACGTAACAATTCTTCAAACATGAAATATATATCATTTAATTTTAAATAAAATGTATTTAAATCACTTTCCAAATCCTCAAGAAACTTAATACGGGTGCTAAAGTCTTTTAAATCAGTCTTGGATTTGGTATTAACATCTTCTGCCCAAGTCTGATATCTAGATATTAACTGTAATATTAATTTGAAAAATCTGAAATAATAATCCAAATTTAAATATTATAACAAACATTGTATACTCTTAATTATGTAACCTGTGGCTCAATTGATGTATGAAGATATTTGGATCTAAACAAGAACACATAGAGTCCCATACTGCTTTTGTGACTTTAAGTTTAAACATATTATCACTACATGACTCATAACTTTCATGGATCATGACGTTTTCAGCACAAAATCCAATCTCTTGAAATCTTGAATTTAATCATTTAAATCAAAATTATCATTTATCAAATTATAATACTATTACTATATAAAAT